ATCATGATACAGTAATGCAGAATAGCACCAACTATGCAGGACTGCAAGTCCCGCAATGCATTTTTAAGTAGGGATGCACCAGTGCCAATACTGGGCATTTTCACGAGCACTCATACTCGTGAAAATGCCCCAATACTAAAGGCAGATTCCGGTGTTCTGTCAAGAATGCCGACGTAGTCGAATTTGCCAACCTCAGCATCTGCGCTTGCGCACAGACCAGTATTATGGAGGAAACAGGGATTTATTGACAAAGTATTTCATTTAAACTTTTTTCTTTTTTTTTACATTTATGGTACTTTTTTAATTATATAGTAAAAAAAAAATAGCAAGGCTATAGTCCGGTCATGCTGACTGGTGAAATTTTTGACTGACTGGTGAGACACTATCAAATTTTTCAAGCCCTGCGTATATTAATCATAAAAGGTTTTGTCTGAATATAAACAAAGCCAGTTATACATCCAGGCTGAGATTTGTGGAAATTGGGTCTTGGGTGGGAAAGTTTCTTAGGATTAGCAGGCAGCCCCTGATTTATCTTATTATATTTTTTATAACAGAACTTCCAACAGATAACACCATTTCATCTTTTAATGGATTCTTTAAAAATCTGAATCTCTCTTGATATCTACTTACTTTAATCCTCTGCACAGCAGACTAGGAGGGCAAAATGCAGCATGTGAGCCAGTCAGGCTTTATAGTATTGAAGCGTCCTCCAAAACACTGGAAGCTTGCTTAAAGAGGAAAGAGCATGAAGAGTAATGATCCCTTCAGTGTTCTGCTATCCCTTAATTGTCCGGTTTTAGGCTAGGTAGGGTCCTAGTCCAGTCATCTGGAGCGTAGTAAATTTAAAAAGGAAGAATGAATCATATTGGGCAAGTACAACATCTGGTACTAAATTATGTGCCCAAAACATGCTTATGCCTGCCTAATCTCCACAACACTTGTATGTTATATTTTCTCTGTCTAAACTATTTGCTGCCGAGCAGTGGTAGTCAACGCGTCTGTGGGACTTTTCTTGTTCATGGAGTATTGCTTGTCTTTATGTATAATGTATGTGCCTAAGTAGAAATGTGTACTGTTTAAGATGAGATCTGGAAGTTTGTGTAAAACTAAGTCAGCTTTTCATTTACTACACATACAGATGTAGGGGTGCTCATACTTGCAAATAGGCATTTCCCTAAGCTTTTTTTTATTTTCTGTTTTGTGGGTTTTGGCTACAACGTGGACTCATTGTTAAATACTGCAATGTGTGACCGTGTTAAGTCTCATGATCCTTACACTTTGATATAGTACCTTCTTCTGACAGCCAAATGTATATGAAGTGTTGTGCAAGACTTCATATGTGTCATGTGCCCTGCACTTCCCAATGCAACAGCCAGAGGCTATGGTAGTGAAGATGCTTTACTGAGATCATTTGAACTGTCGACATTTTAGACATGTGCCAAGACTCTCTGATGTAATGTCCCACCCTATGTGCCTGCCCTCCTTGTGGTTAGTGCAAAGTACTTCACTACTACTACAGTAATGATAATATACAGACAGCGATCAGCGCTGCCGAAGCGGCGGAAGTCCCCCCCCTGGATTTCCACTCGCACCCACGCAATTTTCACTCGCCAATTGCGAGGGGGCGAGTGGAAATTTTGAGCCCTGAATAAGTGTAAGAACTGACATTCTTACCTCTTCTTTGAAACACTGTTCATATATTTTTTTTTTATTTCCCTATGGAATAATAAGTAGGCATTCCTGCTGGTCTGTCCTCTGTGGCTACAGATGGGGTTTCCCTACAGGTTAGAAGATAAAAGCTACCATTCAACTGGTTTTCCTTTCCTCTAGTAATTAATTAGGAAACTATACATTCTTCTGTTTGTTATCCTGCTTTGTAGGATGTTAACACACATTTAATCATCTATCAACAATATATTTAAGTTTTTTGTTCCTTATAATTTAGAGGGACTTTGTTGCCAGAGGCTGCCATAGAGGAGCAGTGCATGGGCAAGAACATCATGATGTGTATTATGACACGTCATCCTTGCAACTATGACTTGAGGCAGAAAATGCATCCTTTTCATATATACGTTTTTTACGTTTTTTATTTTATTTTATTTTTTTTGAGGATTTAACAATGACACAGATGTACTTTTACATTTTTAGAACTGTTTTTGGTTTGAAGAGTCTATTTTTTCCACCATGTTTTTTAAGTTAGCAGTGTATAATAGTAACAAAGTATATATTGTAACGTGTATGCACCAATCAATGCATGCTTCTAACAGCCACAAGGCAGTGATTACATTCTGTATTTTTATTTTTTTTGCAAAGAATGAGGTTAAAGGATCCTCTTAGATTAGAAGTCATTCTGGCGCCAAGGATGAAACGTGGGTGTCCTACCTCACAGACCCAGTGCCTACACCTAAAAGTCTGCCCCTCCCTCCATCAAGGCTAATGGGAGATGTTTATCGTGGGCTGATGAAAAGGTTCTCACAAAGCCTGACTAAGTGGCTATGAAATGTTAGGGCTTTTGGATGAGCTGATCAGTAATGCTGGCTATAGAAAGCCCCTTGACATTTACAAGTTTAACCCCTGCATTACAGACACAGTGAAGGGGTCTCTCTGCTGACAAACAATAGAGCCTTTCCAATGTCGCATGACTGCAGAGAAAAGGGTCTGTGCACACTAATCTGATCCTCTTGTCTTCTTTGAAATGTAAATCATTCAACGCCACTTTCCATTTTTCACAGTTTTATTGGAGCCAAAGTTTACAGAGCTCCAGAACATTTCTTTATTTTACAGATACTTCAGTTATCATACATTCACCAAGTAGATTTCAGAGTTTCCAAGCTGGATGCTTTTCCATGATGGTAGCTATTAAGGAGCTTCAAATAATTAGCAAATTATACCTAAAAATGTTTTGTTTTATTTTAGAGTGAAATATTATACTAACAAATTCTCAGAAACAAAAATGTATACAGTCTTTTTTGACATCTCCGGTATGTACATTTTGCTTATGTGAGGCACAAAGATAGCTTTCTAGTTCTCTGGAGTATTCCATCTTACACCTAGAACGTTCCTATCATTTGTCTCCAAGGCAATTCATTTGCTCTCACTGATTTGCTTTTAATTAATGACAATTTTCTCTATTAGCAGTTTCCCTGTTCCTGAATTCCCACTTACATTGATAGATTTCATTCAGTGAACTGAGCTTTTTCAGTCCATCGTCTTTATAGAACACTACGAGACATACGCAAATCGCTAATCTTGTAAGGTTTTTTTTTGTCTAAAGAGATTTTTTTTTAAAAGGACATAGAGAGAGTCTCAAAATTGTATGGAATAATGAACGCAAAAATAAATGGCATAAGTAAGTTGTAATAAACAAAATAAATATTTTATTTTGTTTATATTTTTTAGTAGTGCTGTGTTACACAAGGGATGTACACAGAAATGTTTACTTGTTTGCTTTCATACCTTGCATATTTTTTTATTTGATGCATTTGCTCCTAATGGTAGACGCTTACATTTTGAATCAGCGTTTTCTTCATAATTTTTTTCCCAAGTGTAAATGCAAATTACTTTACTGGTTGCGTAAAAAGTTAACAAGGTCATTTCAAACCTTTAAGAATATTGTGCAAATTAAATTTTTACAGATATATTTCCTAACGTTCAAACACTGATGTGTATTTTGGTAATTTAGTAAAGCAATGCAAAGAGAAATAGTATTGGGCATCCAGACAGATCTTGGTTTAATGAAGAGAGGTGAGAAAACATTCTGATTGGTTACTGGTTTAATGTACTTTTCACATAATTCTCTGATATGTTGGAGAAGGCCACTAGCAGTATTACAGCTCCAAACCTACATTCCAAAGATGCTGGACATGAATACTATGTTGGGGTCACTGACAAAGTAGCTCTGTTTTAACTCAGGTCCATTTTAAATGCCAAATAATGTTTGTTTGTTTTTAAACCCAACATTTGTGCCTTTTTTTTTTTTTACTTGGCTTTTTAATTTATAATATAGTAGAATCTCATCTTCCAACCAACTTTACCTAGAAATAGTTAGACCAACTTATTACGTGCTGTATTAGAATAATGTACATACATCTGTTGGTAATTTTATGTATCACCATGTCAAAAATAATTCTAGTAGTCCTGTCCTAGGGTCACAACCATAACACCTCTTTAGATACAGTGGAGTTAGCGAGCGTAGCAAGCCTAGAAGTGGAAGTATTCACGAGATTAAAAGGTAAAAATAAGGGACAAAAGCCGGGGGGAAAATGCAGCCACCGCATCTAAGGACTGGTAAGCTGCAATATATAAAATGTTGTTTTTTGGGTTTAGATATACTTTAATTTGTAAAGTGTAACATTTAGGGGCATATTTATAAAGCAGTAAATGTGACATTCATCAAACGTTCATTGCAGGAAAATCTTCTTGGTGAATGTGTTTTAAATTGCAAGGATTAACTACCTGTGAATGTTTGGTAAATGTCACATTCACTTCTTTATAAGTGAACAGGTACTGCTGCAGCTTCACACTAGAAACGACCCTGGTGCACACAATCTACAATTATTACTTCTGATTTTTAGCCTTAGTTTAGGTCTCCTTTAAAAATCGTAATTCATATTACTGAGGTAATTATTGTTTTCACAGTACTATAAATTCCTGTACATGGTTGATTAATACAATGTGGACTGGTTTGTCTTTAAATGTGCCAGGCCCAGAATAGAGGTGTATTTGTTGTCAGTATGGGTTATATTTATCACACATGTTCAAAGGTAATCATTTATACAAGGCACAGCTTTTGGAACTCTGTTTAAATATACATTAATAAAGGAGATTTTTTTTCATTTTGGAGAAAAGATACTGAACTCATTAGACTGTTTTCTTTTCAAGCATGTATTCCAGATGCTGAAATGGTCTAAGAATGTTGAAAGGAAGGGAAGGATTACATCACTGGAGCAAGCCGTTTTCTCAGTAGACAGAGTTTTTACTTGTGCTGTTATTTCTTACAGGTCATTGTCCAGTCTGGCCGTCACCCCACTGTTCTTCAGAAACTTTGCCAGCTCCCCTTCCAGTATTTTAGTGACTCCCGGCTGGTCCGGCTGCTATTTCCAACACTGATTGCCGCCTGCTACAACAACCCTCAGAATCGACTGATTTTGGAACAGGAGTTAAGCTGTCAGCTGCTTGCCACTTTCATTCAGGTACAAAACTGGGAAAGGGATCAGCACCTGACCAGCTTGAAAACTTAACAAATGTGTAGGAGGTGCCTGAGGAAAGGGAATAATGAGCTAGCAGAATAGCAAATAGGATAAAACTACACTGCCCTGAGACGTTTGGTATGACCGTAAGTATACTTTTCCATCATAGCATATGTTTTTAAAGATGCAAATTTATATAACCAAACATTACTATGTAAGTTAAGGAAATGTTCTATAACAAACTTGTTACAGGACTCCTAGCTAACATTGTTTTCATATGGTTTGAACTGTTTAGAATTGTATTTCTACTATTTAATTGAATAGAATTAACAAGAAAAAAGTGGCAGAATCTCTAATTCTATACTGATTACAGATTTAAATAGATGAAAAGAATTTAGCACGGAAAAGGAAGGGAATTAATAATAGCATATAATGATGTGATCCCTAAAAATAACAATGAGTTTCAAACAGTATATCGTTTTTTTTTTCTTTTCCCTATAGTGCCATACATTTATTATTCTATGAATTGATCTGGTTTGAATGTTTAGGTATCACCAAAATAAGTTAAAAAAGCAAGTACGGGGAAATTCCAAACTATTTGCTAGCTGTTAGGACAAAAATACTTTTGTGGTTTTTCTGATTATATATATATATATTTATATTGCATTGTTTGCTTCTTTCAAGACACGGTTTTATCCTATGTGATATAGTCTTTGCATTACAAATAAACATATTGTATGGGTTTTTTTAATAAAATAGATGTATATGATATTTTATCCTGTGCATTTACTATTGTTGAAATGTAATTATCCAGTTTATTAATACAAGACATATTTAGAACAGTGACGTGTGTAATAATCCATTTAGTTAGTTTGTCACTACAGTACCATGATAGTCTTTTTTATGAATGTGCAATTAATGCTGGCCATTTAATAATGCAATCTATTTAATATTTTTTTTGCTTACACCAAATGTATTTAACGCTTCGTTGTGTATATGTGTGTGTTTTCACTGCATTTTATCATTTTTGACAAGTGTAGAAGGCCCAGAATGAACTATACAATGCAGGTGACAGTGCAGTGTGCACTTTGCTATAACGGCATGTGAAGAAAATCAGTAAATAATTTTTTTACATGAGCCATTGACGTTTCATGTTGGCACACTTTTATTAAGCAAGAGTCTAATACTCAGTTATCTAAATGGTGCCCAACAATTAAAGTATTTAGAAATTCCAAGGTAGATCAGGAAATCCATGGGATAAACATTTTCTCTATTAGATGCTTATTTAAAGTTGACCCAATGATGGAGTTTTTGTCAGTTACTAAATCAGTGGCCTGTTTGTGGCCAATATTGAGCAAGACAATTATATTACTTATTTTGTTTTGTTTCTGTAATGTCATTTTTGTAAATTTTTAAGCAGGATCTTTTTTTACTGTTGTAATCTTTTAAAGTATAGCCAATTATTTTGGATATAATTTATTTTGGATATAATTAGCAAACTAAAAAAAAAAAAACTCCAGTCATGTTTTTATTGCTGCCTGTTTCCTTGTTGTGGAAACACAACAAGGAAGTGAAGTTAAATCTTCCCAATGGGACACAAAAAAAAAAGATAGGGTTTGCTGCCAAATTGAAAACAGAAAAAAAAAGGTTTGGCTTTAGGTGCCATTTTTGTATGTAAAATTGTTTTGCTACAGTATACTATTCGCGGATATTTAAACTTATAGAGTAACATACAGAGTTATTCGCGCCAGTCAGGTTAATATATTATTGTCAAACTTTTTTTTCTGATGTATTGACCCCTTTGCCTACATACTTGAAATGGCAATAGCAATATTTTCTTATTGCAAGCTAATATTACAGTGAATATCACATTGAATGACACTTTACTCCCCTTCTGCCCCTTCCCTGTGTGTAATAAATTTCCCCCACATAATTGTTAACTATAAAGAAAATTGTATTCCATGTTTGTCTTTTTATTGCCTTGTAATTGATGCAATAAACAGATTCAATTTTAGTACTGTGTAACCTAATTATACAGGTTTTTTTTCTGCTCCTCCTGTGCCATATCTACTGGCCACAAAAGGTTACAGTAGTGTAATTAAATTTGGGCTAGAACATTAGCTATGATCAACCTATTTTGTTTTGGTCATTAACTACACTTTGATATATTAGAGCAGAGAGTGACAAAGAATGAGGAACCAGAATGGGAAGTATAATGATGATATCAGTGAGCGACTGATTTATATAGAAAGTTAATCTGATTACATTGAAAATTGTGTAATTAGCAGCAGAGACTTAAACTACTTCAGTGTTTTAATGTTATTACTCTCTTTGAGTAACACAAAACTCTTCCAGAGTCATGAGACCTGGAATATTATCATCATGGCCACATGCACATATCCATAGTAATAAGTGATTACCCCAGCCGAATTCTTCTTTTCTCCACATGATAAATCAGTGGAATGAAACTGTGCGATACCTGTTTTTAGTTCTTAGCTGAACTTTTAGTTTTGAACGATTCCACCTATGGATGTTGTTTTGCAAAATATGTTATACGAATGGGAACTCAGATTAATGACATTCCCTTATATTATTTGTTTTCCCTCATTTGATACTTTGTGGCTGAAGAAGCTGGGAATGGACGAGTTAAATGAGAGTGCAGTAGAGACGGGAGCTCTGAGCTGTGTAATTCACTGCTCTGCTCAGTTACTTTCTGGCCTCTAATCGTATAACCTATAAACACAATGTCACATTTGCTTATTTTTCATTGTACAGAGGAAGCAGGAGCTTGGATGCTTTCATCTGCACAGCAGTCTGTAGCGCTGCTCAGAAAGATGACTGCATTTCCTTTTGTGTTTAAATAATAATAATAATAATGTACCCAGAATTTATTAGAATATTTGTTTAACCATTGTGATCTATACTGTCCTATGTATCACAATAATATACTCTGGGGGAAATTTATCAAAAATGTAGAAGACACAATCTGGAGCAGTTACCCATGACAACCCATCAGCTTCTCTCTTCAGTTTGTGCAGCTAACCTTCAAAAATGAAAGGTAGAAACAAATTGGTTACTACAGGCAACTGCTCCAGATTCTGTCTGCTCCAGTTTTGATAAATTCCTCCACATTATTTAATAAAATAATTTTATAACCATTTGTGATCTATACTAGTGCAGTGGATAATGCATTGTAGTATATTGGCAGGGTTAATTCAACATAAGTTGTGTCTATTACTTGAGAGACTTCTTCATTTGGTAATAAATCATCAGACCATAACAATTATTTCTTCACTTGTTTAAAAAAAAAAAGCCTCTGTGATGTCAGTTACCTCGGTACTTACAAAGAAACATTGGCTAAAGCCATTCTTTGATATTTCTACCATCTTTAGTGTTCTACAGCTTCCAGCTGTACAAGAACTTCAAAACCACTGCAATTGGATGAACAGTTTTCCAGAAATGCCTATCTTTATTTGAAATGGGAAAATATGCAGCTTTATTTCAATAGATAAATAAAAAAAAAGAATAAGAAGCTAGATTCTGTTCCAATATTAAGCCCCTGGTGCCATAGTTGCTGTAAATTGAGAATCGTACCAGTCTGTAAGTATTGTAGTTGTTTGCCGCTCTGCTAACCAGTACATTGTGCTATTGTCTTAGGACTGTTTGCAAGGATCAAGTCATCCCATCAGTAGGACGTCTCCACACAAAGGTAATGTAACCAAGGCTGGGTGATTGCAGCCATTCAGACATACAACTGTCTATCCTTCTGACCTTCAGAGCAAGGAAATGGCTTGTTTTCAGTAGATGCCATTGACAGTCCAGGCAGCATAATGAATGTGGTGTTAATTCATTGTACATAATAAATAGTGAACAACTTCACAACAAAAGCCTATTGAGAGACAGCTTGTTCTTTTATTGGCAACAAAAGCCAGTTTACTCAAAGATTCCATGTGCTTTTGGAAATAGTTACTTGCTAAACAAGCTAGCATCTTAGGAGCAGGTTAAATTACCGCCACATAACACACTCACTTCAGGACACGTCATTGTAGAACTCAGTACTTCATAAAGGCTGTGAACCTGACAATTTATGCTCATTACACCCACTGCGGGTGGTCCTACCAATGCTGCCCTTGTGAACTTGCAGTGTGCAGGCATGTGACAAACACATAAAGATAACTTCACTTGAGGAAGAAGAACTGGAAACATTTAAATCTCTCTAGAAATGGTCTGAGTACCACTCAGAGAGATCCTTTAGGCAATCATTTGTCTTAAGAGTTGAGACCTTTAAAACCCGGCTTCTATCCAGCCACAACAGTTTGTTAGTTACACTAACCAATAACACTTCAAAATGTATCTCTAAAACTACAATTGACTAAGTTCTATTTTACATTATATTTTATATTGACAGTGTTCATCAATGCTGAGAGGATATCCTTCAAGTTCTCAGGTTTTTGTTTTTTTTGTTTTTGTTTTTTGCTGTCTGTGTGCCAATTGGGAGTTTCACCCTTTCTGTCCCAGAGGCTGTTATCACTGAAAGTGTATCCCAACTCTAGGTTTGTCACCAGACAGGAATAGATGGTAAATCTTCCAATGGACCACCAGTTCTGGTGACCCTGCCCACCACCAGGGATTTCCTTCACTTTGGGGGGATTTAGTCTAACTTCTGTTGTGGCTATCAGACAGGGAGTGAAGGTAAGTCTCACCAATGGGAGACAAATGGCAAAAAAATGTAACGGGGTTATTATAATCCTCCATTACTCTATACAAAACTACAAATAAATTCTTGCATCTGTGGTATTATGAAATTTTTTTTTGTATATATATATATATATATTTGTGGTCCGGTATATATACCATATAATAGATATAGCGTGGGCTGAGTTGTGCCAATAAGCTAATGTAGCCTGAGGGGTGCCCATGGCCACGCTGTTTGGTGAGCCTCAAAGGGGGCATATCAAATGAAAAGGTGATGGAATTTTAAGTTATGAAGAGGGATGGGTGGGGACAAACGCTTCCCCTACAACGTCAGGCAAGAAAGGGAAGAGGAGGCGTTTAAATAGCCATAATCCCCTCCCACAAGTACAGGTTAATAAATTAACCTTCATACATATCATATTTTATGTTTAGATTGTATTCCCTAGGCAGTTGTAAAATATGCTTACCCATTTGCTAAAAATTCTCCTGCATGTTAACATCAAAAGATTATGAATGTTTATTTCAAGACTTGGTTTAGTTGTTAATGTATCGTAAAGGTGTTAATAATTTGTCAATGATTTTTAAGGCAGTTGCAGGTTAGTCTTCCAATAGAGTTAAAGTGGGTGATATATCTGTCTGTATAATAGTTCTGTTTAGCCAAGTAATTGACTTTTGGTCTTACATGAAAAATAACATTTTATGAAACAATAAGCTAATTTACTAGGAATTTATATTTTGCTATCTCAGCGTATTTGCTAAATATTTTAGCGCTATTCATTTGGTAGGATGAAGTAATCTGATGGTTTGTTATTTTACTGATCATTTAGTTCTGTTAATCTGTGCACAGAAAAGAGCTGTTATTAAATCTACACTTCACTTGAATCAGTTGAGTACATGGCAGCATTACCAAACCACACTACTATTTTTAATAAACACGTAACTTGGGATGGGAGTACACAGGCGATTTTTAGTTGCGCAATCACTTCCGTTGGAATACACAACAGGTTATATAAGTATGCTTATATCCATTTTTGTCCCGATCAATCTCAGGACAGTAGCACATGCTCCAAATCATTTGCATTGAGTAATTGCCAGAATTTTCTTTTTTTTTTCCTCATTCATTTCAATAGGAGGAAGCAATTAATTGCAAGTTGAAGCATAACCAAGTGATTTTATGTGATTTTTTTTTTGTCTAGGGTTTTTCAAACCGCAAAGACAACAATGACAGACTTGACATTTTGTCCACGAAAATTTTATATTTTAGACAGGGACTTTGCACAAGCATGGACATTAAAAATTGTGTCTACTTTTGTTGTGTTAAAAGTATAGAAGGTATTCTTCAATGGCAGTAAAACCTCTATCAAAAGTACTGAAACAATAAATAACACAGCACTATAAACTGCACTATATTTACATAGCAGGATATAGGATGTACAACCCTTCACCTTTTGCTTTTGCAAATTTTTTTGAAAGAAAAGCATTGTAATAATCACTTTCAATAGCTTAACATACATGAAATCACAATCACGCGTGTGCACATGCAGTTGAAAATCAAATCAATAGGAAAAAATTGCAGAAAATTCAAAAATGGCTTGGCCAGCTGATTTGAAAAATGTTCCGGAGGGCTTGGCAGCGAAAGGGTTAAAGTGTAGGCAAAAGACAGTGGAAAGTATTTTTTTTTTTTCTGTTTGCAGTGAGATAAGTTCAATTGTGTTCCTACAATTACAGACCTAAACTGCCCATACACTAGTAGAATTTTGATTGAAGAAATCTGTTTTCAGATAATGGGGTCCAATGCAGAATCGATTTGGACTTCAGTGAGGAAAAAAATTGAAGAAGCAGGATGGAAAATTTCTCTTGAACCAATTAAATACTTACAGTGACTGTGTTTTTCATTCAGGAAACTCAATTCATTCCAAAATGGAATGTTAAAATCAACAGAATTTTCAAAGGTCATTCATCAAGTATTTTTTTTTTCATCAGTGTATGGCCAGCTTTACACAGAAACAGGATTTTAAGAGATTAATACAATAAAACAATTATTCACATTAAAAGAATCTGTCATGAGAAATTATATGTGGACTTTCTTTCTTGACCTCTCCTTTTGAAAATGCTAGTTCCCTGGCTGTCATTCTGATACTTTTCAACGCTGAGTCGCTGACCCAGAACACGTTTAGAGATGAGTTGTTCTGACACTCATTCGCAATTCCCGATCTTTCACTGGAAAGTACTGAAGTGAGACCCAGCCAGGCATCGAGCATATACAGAAGAATGCAATGGCAGCCCTCGTACTTCTCTCATGGCCAAGTCACTTTACGCTAATCTATTTCACATCTATATTTGAAAATAAGACTATAATTCCCCTTCATTTTGGGAAAAAATTGTCCTTTTCCAAATTCCCCTTTTAAATGTCTAATGAAAACTGTCAGACACTCTGCATCAAACACAGGGCACTGTATTAAAGGGCAATGACACTGACAGTGAACTAGGAGAACCTGGCTTCCATCCTAGGTAACCCCTGGTTGACCTCTCTGGTCCCTGCACTAGAACCCTTCAGTGGATGGCATGTGAAAACAAATAAACCAATAAATGGACTAGCATTGTCTCCTAGAGTCTGGGGAGGGATAGATCTCTTAGTCTTTTTAATGTATTGAGCAGGAGATTTATAAATACTTGCAGAGTGATTACATCCCCCTCTTACTGGCTTAATAAATCCAGATCACACTTGTGTAGTAGCATCTATGATTGACTTTATAGAATTACGATGCATGTAATAATGTTACTTTTCCATTTCTCCCTACAGATTATTTCCAGCAGTACCTTGAATTCTCTTCCCGTTTCCCACGTCATTGCTGGGAGCCCTCTCGTCTGTTTTTCATAAAAAAAGATTGAATTGCAATATTAATTTTTAATGTTTTAATCTGGGGCAGTTGGTTATAGATCCAAGCCTCCTCCTACTACATGTACAGAATTGACTCATGTAAAATAATATAATATGCTATGTGTAAAAATGCTCCATATTGTTATTGTGCACTATTTATATGTTGATTGTGTAGATACATTGTGCTGTGAGATTTTGCTTGCATGCGAAGATAAACTTGGCCAATCCTTTTTATACTTCTCCGCTGAATACAAAAGGAATCTTGCCTTGCACATTGTTTACAAAAAAGCTGCAGATTACCTGGCAGTGATCGATAACTGTATTAAAACTTGCTAATTCTATAAATCTTGAAATAAAATAAGTTATTTTCTTTCTTGCGTGATGTTTAGTTTCTATTTCCTGAACAAGACCTTTGCAGGTACAGCGGAGAGTGGCAGTATTTCCAAGGATGGATGTTTTAAAGCCCAATTCAGAGGTGACAGTCAAAGAGCACGATCCAATTAGGGTTAATATAAACACAATTCATTTTGCAGACTCTTTGTTAGGATTGTAGCAGCCAGCTTTCTGGCAGACATAAAATCACACTATGAGTCAGTTCTACAGAAACTCATTGCGCAATTATCCTCTGTTAGATTTCGAAAACTGTCCCTTATTTTATCCCCAGGGCCTGTTTTTTATGGCTTTGGAAGTTTTGAGAGCAATATGTGCGGATGAAGCCTGAAGAACCAGATCTGAGTATCATTTTAAGGAGCATTGTTGCCAAAAAAGTAGTAACAGCTATTACATATATCTGGCTTTTATAACAGCCCATTGTCCTATTTCGATAAGCAACCATCCAGGGAAAAATCTCATAAATCTTAGGAAATTATGACTGACAATTATACTTTCTGATAATAAAATGAAACTCTAGGATTTTTTTAATGCTGCATTGCATCTGTAAAAATAAAAAGCAGCTTTTTTTCCCCAATACTCACCTATTAATCTGGAGCTGTTTGCCACAGTACCTTTTTCTCTGCCGCTAGATATTGACATTCTTCCATGTTAAATGACGGCCGGTGTCATCCAACCCACTCCTGTGAGCCGAGGCTCTCATGGATCCAAACGCTGGAGCAGCATCATCACACTTGGGTCCAGGCTCAGATGTAATGATGTGTCTGTTGTGCTCAATCCAGAAGGAAGGACCTCCGACCCACACCACCAAGGTAGAAAAGGAACAACCTATGATGTCACTGAACCAGCCTGAAGACTGCAGGTAAAGTTATATGAATAGTGAATTTAAACAAGAACATTAGATCCAAGAGAGGCTTCAGGGAGAAGGTAGAAAGAGGGGAGGCTAAAGTTTTACTTTAAAGGGAAACTGGTTTGCCCATTAAACCAAAAGCAACACATTTTCCCCAGAAGCGATTACTTACCTTTCCTTTAGTCCACCACAGCACTGATCAGCCACCAGGATCGATGTGAATATATGTGGCACTTCAGGTATAATGGAGCATGTTATTCACTTCCTTTCCACGTGACAGCACATGTGGTTTGTAACTGTCCCTGCATTGTCACATGGAGGCAGGAAAAAAGAGAGGCCTGTATAAGCTCCAAACAGAGATCCAAGTGAGTGGGCACAGGTCCTGCTTGCCTCGCTTCCAGCAGCTGAATAGAGCATCGGGGGACTGAAGGAATGGTGAGTAGGCTGCTGGGGAGGAGGACTGTAATGAAAATAGTTGTTGTGCCCTGCATGAACAAAACACAGGCTCACTTCAAAAATTATAAATAGCCCTAAGTCTTTTCAAAGACGTCAGTAGAATACATGCCCTACTGGACAGTACCCAGTGGCCCCAGCAGTAATAGATAAAGCAACCATAACTCGTCTTCAGTTTTGGTTGCCTATCAGCCTCTCCCATGTGTTTGGGTTAATTTGTGGTAACATCTAGAAATGTTAATTGTGCCTAAACAGTACTCTATAAAATGTACCTTTTGTCTTGAATTTCTTCGAAAAATATGTGGATTTCCAGGTATGTGATCGTGTCTAGAGATTTCTGTGCCTACAACCTTATAGCTATACATCTGCCATGTGAGATACAAGACACTCTTGCCTCTGACTGCTAGTCTCAGGAGATATGGAGTATGGAGTGAGATTTGGTGATGTCACTACTGTTCTGAGAGAGACCGTGCAGACCAAGGCACGGTAAGTCAGTAATGGGGGAAATAGCTACAGGGAGACCACAGGCATTACTGGTGACTAGTCCTTTGCCTTCTGCCTACCATTTCCACGGCACAGCTTCCGGTGATCAGTACATCTTTAGCCATGCTTACCTGTCTAATAAAAGATGTAGTTAAAGCTGACTATGGGAATTACAGACGTGTAATGTACTCAGTGTTCTTTTTACTCTATATAGACTATTAAAGCAGAAAAATCAGACTCCCAAAAAATCACATGCTGGTATCTTGTATCTCTCTGGGGCTCCAGTGGGGATGTATCCCCAGCAGAATTCCTGATGCCATCTTACTGCCATGGCCATTACATAACCGAATGATGTTATTACATTTGCAGAATGTAGATAGAAAAGGTGATTAGGAAAGCCAACCATAAGAAAGTGATGGCACATGGCCTTGTAGGAAGGGGCAGCATTAAAATTACTCCTGCAACGCTGAGAAATATACCAATTTGTGATCCAACTAGCCCAGGCTCACCCAAATTGAAATGTACTGTTTTTGTCCTTGAAATGGTAAAACGTTCAGTGCAAAGGCATACTTTTCTATGTGATAACATTAAACCAAAAAGAGCAAAATTAGTCATTTTCTTACAGAATACCATTGCTGTCCTAGGTACCAAATGTATAAAAGAAAGTTGTTCTTTAACAAACTGTTGAGTGAGTTCCTTTTGATTTGTGATCTCACTGACAAAGAAGAAAGACTTATGATGCCACATAGGATTTCCTGCTATGAGTACCAGAAAGGAGATGCAGTGCCCCTCTCCGCTTCTATACTTTCTGAGCTCTGGCTATTTACGGCTTTGGGAAATCTGCCAACCTGGCCATAAATAATGTAGGCAGAACGTCATTAACCCCAAATAGGAGCGGGTTTGTATTTCAATTAAACATCTAATTGAAAAATCCAAGTCACTGTTTCAAATTTTAAACACAAATTTGCACCATGACCGTTGTGTCATAAGTGCAGCGGTTCTTAACTCTTACGGGTTCTTAAGGAAGAGAGCTAAAATAATTTCGAGTGAAAATATTGTTTGTGATAAAATTGATTGATTGTTAGTATAGTCGTATACAATGCACAACCTGAAGTGTGGACCCAACCATCAGATTTATGGCTGGGTGTCTGACTTTAACCCTAGGCTTCTATACCTTGAAATCCCTATTTGCAGAAGTCCAACTCATGTTGTTATTCCCTCGACAAATTCCTTGTCCAGCATCTAAACAAACCAAGTACACTGTTTTTTTCTGATCTGTGGACATATAGGAGCTATATTCTCACGAAATATTCTAAAATAGCAAATGCCCAAGGTTTTGTTGTTAGGGGATAAATAGAAAACTTTCAGTTTTAAAATATATTGGTAGCCAAAACCTATTTTTGTAGTTTTGCATACAGCAGGTAATAGTTAGAACCCATTAATACAGAACCCACTTCCTCTCCTGGTGACGTTGTCACTGTGGAAGTAAGTGAAGGGCAAATCACTGATAAGGATACAAACAGCAAACAAATCTAACAGATGTTTTAGCCTTTCCCTACCCTGCCAATAAAAGTGCTTGTATTACCATGTTTAGCAGACTTTCTTTCACTTTCTGTCATTGTGACAACTTTGTTGCTGGAACAGGAAGTGAGAGAAAATCTCCCAAGCTGACATTTTGTCTGGAGATACACTTTAAAGCAGGGGTAGGCAAACTCTGGCCCTCCAGCTGTGGCACAGCTACAAATCCCATTAGGCATTGCAAGACTCTGGCAGCCACAGGCATGACTCCCAGAGGAAGATGAATTATGAGATTTATATTTTCACCACAGCTGGAGGGCTGAAGTTGGCCTAACCCTGCTTTAAATCATATTTCCATAGTTTCATGGGTTCAAAAGTAGGCTGATAGACTTTGTGACAAATATGGGCCAATACAGAGATTGTGTGATTATACTTATCATAAGTGGAATTAATACTAAAATAATGGTGTTAAACCCTTTTTAAATAAAATACTGGACCCGTATATCCATGTATGCCATCCCTGCATTTGAACTCATTTGTTCAGTCTTGCTTTTTTCAAGAGTTTAAAGTAAAACTCTTGGTTTTAAAACTTTTGTTTCTCCTCAATTCCTATTCATGGGACAGAAAACAGACATGAGCCAGCAAGTGAAGGAAAATCTCCCCTGTGGTTGTGCACAGGCTAAAAGAAAACCGAAAAGGGTTTGAATGCAATTCCATTTTAAGACAGGACATTAAAAAAATATTTCCAGGGACTGGAAAGTTATCTTGGGGATGGGAAACTGCTTTTGATCCTTGCCCACTTGAAGTCTTATACTTCTGCAAAATCAGTTTAGGATCAACTGATCCTATTAATTACATGCATTTCCCCTTCATGGTTGATAGCATTCCCAAAGTATCCATTTTGCAAAGTAAGAAATGGTCAAATCATGGCTTGGTGCCATGAGAGACCTATAGGCACCAGATGGTATCGGCTGGTTTGGACGCTGATTTCACGTCTATGGCACATCCACACCATGACATTTAGGAGGGACAATTGATTAGGCAGATGAGGAAAGATACCCCAATGACCATTATTCCTCCAGCTGAAAAGCAAGTACCAGCTCATGTTACCCATGCTACCCTCCTTCCCATTCCATAGAGCAACAGCTTGCAGTTTTGTGCTCTAACATGTAGCATTTGTCCTGAGGGGGTCATATTATGCATCTGCTGTAGCCTTCTTCAGTGTATGGTCAACCTTACAGTGTCAACTGCCAAAAAGGTAAGAGAACTGTGGAGCTTCAAATAAAAGTACATGTTAAACCCTAAATAAATTACATTTAGTGTAGAATTAACAATTACTATGTTTAGGAGAGCACGTGATAGGAATGGCAACACTGGAGCGTTCAATTGGGAGCAAGAACAGAGTGTTGTCGCCCTACAACAGGAGGTACCTGAACAAAGACCTTTATAGCACTTACCAAATATTATTTTAATGAAAACGGCAAATTTAAAAATATTGCAAATTACTTTTGAAATTACTGAAACATGTAAAAGCAAATATGAGATATTAGAAAAGATTACTTTGAAGTAGGGTTGCTTTTGAAGGACATCACAGAACCACCAACCCC